GATCCTGAGCCAACCTCACTAATCCTGCCACACTTGAGCCCATTGATGCTGTCACTTTGCCAGTCCTTCTCTGGTGGTCTTCCTCTTTTTCTCTGACCCTCCACCCTATCAAAAGGAGTGTACAAATCTCTACAGTGAGGATTGTTCCAAACCCCTTGGTACACAAGGTCGACAGGGAGAGGGAACTTAGACATTTGCTACCCAAAATGGGGGGACTACAAAGGCAAGAAGTGACTGGCTTACAGGCTTTCAATAGGGAACCCAGCTCCAGAGGATACAGGGATAGTAGAACCTCCACTGAATTTTTTCCAACCTGTCTGGATGGGGTTGATAACAGGTGAGGGGGAAAGGTCTGACAGTGAGTGTTGGAAAAGTAAATGTAAATGTTTGGTAACAAAAGGAGGGGAGGGGCTGATGTTGCAGTCCAGGAGCGGAGACCCCTGGAACCATCAAGAGACAAAAGCAAAGTGTGAGACCATGTCCAGAGAGGCAGTGACACCAGGGATGGAGGTAGATGCTATTACGTGGACATAAGGAGTGGCTGGGGGCTCTGGACTCAGGGAAGGAGAGGGGTTGTGTGCTGGTGACTGGGGGGGGGGGGCAACAGAAGTATGGGGTGTGTACCCTTTGGGTGTTTGATGATGCATGCAAGTGATTGTGATCATTGCAATGAAACAAAGTACAAAATAGACTTGACAGCAAAAAAAAAAAAAGAAGCATCAATTCTTCTACGGTCCTCCTTATTCACAGACCAGCTCTCACATGTATATGAGTTTATTAAGATAGAGAAAGAAATATTTAAAAGCTAAAATTTATTTTGCTGAATCTTCACTTTTTAGTTTTACAGACCCCTTTAAGTATTTAATGAAAGCCATGATCCCTTACCCCCGAAAACTGCTCATATACACAGACTCATGCTGTTGAGTTGATCCCAACTCAGTAACAACCCTATACGCCAGATAGAACTGTCCCTTAGGAAATAGTTTGAAATGAAGAAAGGTGTGCGACAAGGTTGTATTCTTTCACTATTTCAACCTGTGTGCTGAGCAAATCATCCGAGAAGCTGGGTTCTATGAAGAAAAACGTGGCATCAGGATTGGAGGAAGACTCATTAACAATCTGCAATATGCAGATAATACAGCCTTGCTTGCAGAAAGTGAAGAGGACTTAAAACATTTACTGATGAAGATCAAAGAGCACAGCCTTCAGTATGGATTACATCTCAATGTCAAGAAAACAAAAATCCTCACCACTGGACCTATAAACAACATTCTTATCAACGGAGAAAAGATTGAAGTTGTCAAGGACTTCATTCTTCGTGGATCAACTATCAACACTCACGGAAGCAGCAGCCAAGAGATCAGATGACATATTGCATTAGGCAAATCTGGTACACGAGACCTTTTTAAAGTGTTGAAGAGCAAAGATGTCAGCTTGAGGACTAAGGTGCGCCTGTCCCAAGCCATGGTATTTTCAATAACCTCATATGCATGTGAAAGCTGGACAGTGAATAAGGAAGACTGTAGACTGCTGTATCAAACTGCTCTACTGACCCCTAGGCTGCAAATCATTCCCACCATGAATGGGTCTAATAGTTCCCAAGAAAATACTTTTTTCACAAAATACCAACTTAAGCATTTTAGATTTAAGCAAGTAAAGAGCGTTAAAAGGTCTCTTATGTTAAGAAGAAACGTATGTCATTGTTTTCTTGAGAGCACACATGTGTTAGAAAGTAACTCGTGGACAGATAGATCCATTGCAGTGTGGTTTCAGCTCTTGAATAGCTGGCATGAGGTAGTCACCCGGACAGCAAGCTCATCTTAAATTTTTCATTTAGACTCAACAGTGACCTATAAGAAAGGCATGGTCTCTCAGTACTTCCAAGGGTCTTCTTACAGCTGTTCTCTCTTAGTTGCTCCATATCAGCTGTTTATAACTCCCAGTAGGTAAGGCACATGCCACAGCCTTTAAAGAACATGGTAACTTTACTAGAAGTGTGCTTTAAATTTATAACAAAGCAGTTATAAATCGGGAAAAGTATAAGAAGCAAACAAAAAATAGATACTTAAAGTGTACTTAGAAAGTTTAAAAATGGAAGAAAATTATAAGAAAAAGGCTGACTAAATGATATGAACTATTGAAACTTACATCTCCCTTCAACATGGTGCTTTCAAGATCTATCTATAGGGTGTGGCGCTGTGGGTTAATGCGCCAGACTGCAAAGCTGTTTGAACTGCAAAGTCGGCGGTTCAGATTCACCAGCTGCTCCTTGGAAACCCTATACAGGGTCACTATGGGTCAGAATTGACTCGATGGCACTCAACAACAACAAATAGGGGATTAAATGGGCAACAACACTGGGAAGATTAGATAGGAAGTTTAGGGGACAATGAGATTATGTTAATGGGGGAGAAACAGCTCAGAAGAGGAGGGCAAGAATGGTTGCACAACTTGAGGAATGTAATCACTATCACTGAATTGTACGTGTAGAAATGGTGGAATCGGTATACGTTCTGCTGTGTATATTCCAAACTACCATCACAAAAATAAAATAAATGGTGAGTTTTGGAAGTCTGATTCCCTTTTTAAACTTCAAGATTCCTTACTGGTCTTTTAATTTGCCAATTACTAAATGCATGAAGAGGAACCCTAGTGGCACAGTGGTTAAGTGCTTGGCTGTAAACCAAACAGTTCAGCAGTTCAACCCACCATTAGCTCCACAGGAGAAAGATATGGCAGTCTGCTTTCATACAGTCTTCGAAACCCCATGGGCCAGTTCTGCTTGGTCCAACGGGGTCTCGATAGTCAGAATCTACTCAATGGCAGTGGGTTTGAGAATAAATGGAGAATGCCTTTGGGTTCTCTGGTGGAATGAACTCCTTGTTGGTAGAATTTTGTACTCTGGATTTTAGGAATAGGTAGAAATGTTTGTAGATTCTCAGCCTTTGGGTTCTCTTGTGGAATGAACTCCTTGTTGGTGGAACTTTGTACTCTGAAATAGGTAGAAATGTTTGTAGATTCTCAGCAACTCTATATAACTCACAAGTTTTTCAGGCAAAGTTGAGATTTTTTAAAAGATACTTTTGCTTTTCTAAAGGATTTATATTAATGTGCAAATTTGACAGTTTTATAAAGCTGACCTGTCACTTATTATACATCTTGGTTGAAAATGCCCCTGTGTATAACTTTTAACTGTTGTGTTTAATTCTAATTAGTCTTTTCCTATGTGTATTCATTAAATCAAAAAGCCATAAATCCTCAGTAATTTTAATCTGAAGATTTTTTAGTATCAGTATCAGTTTGATGTAAGAACCATATAAGAGGCAACCCACACACACACGCACACACACTTTAAAGATTACTTTTAGCGTTAACTTCACTTATCTCAGAGAGTGAGAGCTTCTGTCTAATTGGGAATTTTGAAGACCCAGATTCATGATGATTATATTAACATTAACAAAAGAAAGAAAAACATCCCAGTTCCCTACACAGAGGAAAGAGAGAGTTGGTCATGCAGAGAACATACACTGAAGACAAGAAGTCCACTGAGTTACTTCAGTGTTAACTTGTGGTACATTGTAGTAAAACACTTATGCTTAAGAAAACGATTGAGTCCTGGTGTGGCGCTGTGAGCTAATACGTCAGACCACAGAGTCCTTTAAACTGCAAGGTCGGTGGTTCAAGGTTATCACCTGCCCCTTGGAAACCCTGTACAGGGTTGCTATGGGTCAGAATTGACTCGACAACACTTAACAACGGCAACAAGAAAATGATTAAGCAAGCCACAAAACTGGTAGAAAATATTTACAACATACATCTCTGGCAAAAGACTTATATCCAAATTATATAGAGATCCCCTACAGATTAATACTAAAAAGTCAAACAAATTAAAACATAAACTATAGCCTTGAAGAGACTCTTTACTAAAGAAAGTATTTAAGTCCTCAATAAGCGCATGAAATATAGTGCTCAATATCCCTAGCTTCAAGGAAATGCAAATGAGATACCATTCACACCCATTAGGTATAATAGAAAAGACTGACAGTAATAAATGTTGGTGCTGTTGTGGAGTATCTAGAACCTTCACACTTCACTGATGAGAGTACAAAATGATACAATCACTTGGAAAACTGTTTCTGATGAAGTTGGGTATAGAACTGCCCTATGACTGAACACATCTCCTAAATATCTGATAAAGAAAAATGGAAACATACATTCTCAAAGATTGTATCATAGTGTTATCAGTTTTATTGTATGAAAGCTCTAAACTGGAAACAACTAAAATGTTCACTGAAAAGAAATTGATAAACTATAGCCAAATAATGAAACACTGCTCAGCAATAAAAGGAACAAAGTACTGAACCATTCAACAACATGGATGAATTTCATTGGTACAAAAGAAGGCATACTATATGACTTCATAAACTTTACAACAGGCAAAACTAATCTACAGAATCAGAAGTCAGAATAGTGTTTACCTCTTGAGGATGGAGTATCTTGATTGGGTAGTATTACATAGGGTGTTCAATTGTCAAAAAATCATCTAGCTAGAAAATTGTTATTGTATGAACACTCAGTTCTTAAAATGTTAACTAGTTCAGGGGGATCCAAAACACAGAGTCTTTTGTAAGAAGTTAAATCATCTTCTGAGTTAGTATCCTGAATTAATACAAATAAGTTGTTGAGTGTCATCAAGTTGGTTCCAACTCATAGTGACCTTGTATAGAGTTTCCAAGTGAGCAGCTTGTGGTTTGAACCTCCGACCTTAAGGTTAGCAGATGTATATTACATAAAAGGTCAGCTGCATTTCTAGACGGTCTCTTCTCTCCTCTGTTGAAGTCAGAGTCACTGAATTTTGCATCAGGTTTATTTCCAAATAGGTTGAAATACCTCTTTAGACCAAGTCAGTGTCCACAGGGCCCCTGTATTGTATGGTTATCACTTTAGAGATGTCCTGTCAATTAATTTTTAACAATCTGTCATAAATTTCTTTTCTGAAGGTGTACAAGGGAGAAGAAGCCACATTCCAAATCTCAGGCCTCCAGAGCAACATGGACTACAGGTTCCGCGTGTGTGCATGTCGTCGCTGTTTGGACACCTCTCAGGAGCTAAGCGGAGCTTTCAGCCCCTCTGCGGCTTTTGTACTACAACGAAGTGAGGTCATGCTTTCAGGGGACATGGGGAGCTTAGATGACCCCAAAATGAAGAGCATGATGCCTACTGATGAACAGTTTGCAGCCCTTATTGTGGTTGGCTTTGCAACTTTGTCTATTTTATTTGCCTTTATATTACAGTACTTCTTAATGAAGTAAACACACCCAACAAAACTAGAGGTATGAATTTCATTAATGCTACACATTTTAATACACACGTTTATTCAGATACTCCCTGTAAGTCTTTTTGTCCTTTGATTTATATACTTCTCTCATTTTACAGATTTAGCTAAGAAAGAAAATATCAGTGTTTTGGTGCACCTTTTTGAAATGCAAAACTAGGAAGAGGTTCAACTGGATTTAAAACAAAAGAAAAACCAGATACCAAAAGCTAGCTTTCTTGTGTTTTCTTTTAAATTTTCAGATTTGCCTTCTTATCTGTTCTCACTGATGTCTTTTGCAAGCCTTTGACTTTTTTTTTTTTCTTCCATGTTACAGTTAAGTAATTTATATTCACAAGTCACTTCTTATGTCTAGAATATCATCTATATGTGTAACATGAATCACAGTGTGTGTAGTAAGAGGGCTAGGGTTTTGGTGTTGTCAGAGTATTGCCACACAACAATATCATGCAGAAGATGTGTTCACTAAGGTATGGCTGCCCTAATTGAGTTCCATTTTGTTACTCAGTTATTTAACTGTTTAGCCTCATTTAAATTAAAATATGTTCTTCAACCTAAAATGTTTTAATCTGTATTTGTTATGATTTTAACACTATGAGCTGCCTGTATACAAAAATCAAGTAACCAAAATGCACCTATAAATTAAGGAGCATTGTAGATTTTTTACCATGTCGATTCATAGCAGTAACTTTAAGAGGGCATTGTGCAATAGTTAGTTGTTTCTTTGTTCAGCTATTTTAAAAGCTGCTTTAACTTGTTTGTGTGTCTTTGTATATAACTACTTCTAATCACTAGAGTTATTATATTCTGTTATGTTTTACCAGAATTATATGATGAGAACTGGTGACAGTTTAGTGCCTCTGCCCATTGTCCACGATTTACACTAATTGTGAGCAGTCTTCTTATGCATCAGCTCATTGTTTTTGAAAGATTTGTCTTTAGGCCGTTCTTTGAGGTATCAATGAAGTGATTGAATTTCAGTACAGACCATATTAATTTTAACAATAGATACAAATTGATAAAGTCCAAAAGAGAATCACCTAAATTTGTAGTTTTCTATTTCTGTGGGGTTGACTTGGCCATGTATGGAGTGGGATGGGATTTGGCAGTAAGCACAGGGTTGTTTAGGGGTCAAGAAGCCTCGATTCTCTCCATGGATCTGTCACTAACTTGCTGCGTGACCGAAGCATGTCACTTTACCTCTGTGCCTCAGTTTTCCCATGCATTAAAAATAAAATAAAATGGGGATTCTAATGTTTGTAAGTGCTTTGAGATCCTTGATCAACAGGTGCTATTGGAGTGCAAACTGTTACTCTTGCATGTTTATTTTGAGTCATGAGATAATCAATTTTAACCCAAAGTCATTGGATTATTTATATGAAGTCCATAATGTTCGAGTACCTCAGGGACATTTAAGAGTTGGAGGTGCAAATATATTCCAAAAGGGTGCAGCAGACACAGTGTATCTCCCTGCTTCTGTTTTTGTATATTTTTGCTACTTGGTTTTTCTCAAGCATAGCTACTTCGTGCTTGGTCTGTGTTGTCTAAGATGCAGTATCCTGTACTAGCTTATAATATTCCCATACCAAAGTCATGGGGAAACCAACATTATTTTGTTTTTGGTTTATTTATACTATATTCTGCATACAGTACTTTAAATGCCAATTACAGTGCAATCTTTATTTATTGTAAAAAATTTTTAATGTACTTATGTACTAATTTTTCTCTTGTAGCATGTTATTTTTTGTGTGTGTGTTTTATACTTTTGTAATTCTAGGTCACTCTTGTTCCTTGGTAACATCTGTAATATTATTAATCTTCTGACATTTTCTTGTATTTTTAAGGATAAGAGCATCTAGTGCATTAAATGCCAAAAAAAAAAAAAAAAAATCCATTATCAATGATTAAAACTTTTCCATGTACCCCCCAAAACATAATCATCTCTTGAAGGAAAGTGGTAAGATCAATGAATTATTCTGTGTGCCTATATTGATGTAGTGAATACTAGAGAGTTCTATATTTTGTTATTGACTATAGTAATCCGTTTAATTAGCAAACTAATGGCATCAAGGTAAATATATCTTTGCAAAGGTTCTGGCCTTCCAAAACTCATGCCTCTATTTAAGTAAATGTGTGATATGATCCACACAGACATTGCATCTGCATCTTCTGAGACAACTACATGCAGGTGTTTCAGGAAGAAGGCGTTTTTTAGGCAACGGAGATTCAACCGAGTACAAAAACCCTACTATTTACAAAGAAAAACATCCCTTTTTGGAACACTTCAGAACTGCTGCTATGAAGAAATTCTCTGAATTGGTTGCATTTTTCAAAAAAAAAAACAAATGAAATCAGGCCAACGTTGCTGTTAATGTTTGATCCTTTTGAGAACTGCATACTATCTGTTTAAACACTAGAAAATTGAAGTATGTAAAGTACGAGCTGAATGGCACTTTATTTTATTGCTCTCCATTATTTGTTATTCATTATAATCCCATCAATCAGAAAATGATTATATTCTATATGGCACTGTGTTCTATCACAAATGATGTGTATATGTGATATGGATTATATATTACTATATCGATTGCCTTTACACATGAACAATAAAATAAAGTGTTGTGGGAACTTCTTTCTTTGTCCTTTTGCAGTCAGTAGGAGTGAGTGATTGGCTTTCTGATGACTGGCTCGTCTGTAGTTCAGACTCACCTCTGCACAAGAAACTCCAATCATGTGAACCAGATGATCCTTTGTTCTCAAAGAAATGATTTAAAAAGAAAATTTGTTTAAAAGATTTTTTTTTTCTTATAATATGCCTTGTTCTTATCAACTTGAAATGTTTGCATTTTCTAACCTTGTTTTGTTGGCTACAGTAATTCAGTATTCATGTCAAAATTGAAAAGTGCCCTAATTGAATGTGTTTGAATGTTATCCTTGCACAATTCTTTAAATTGAAAAACAAAATGTTTTTACCTCACTGTTGGACATACATTCCAAGCTTTTCAACTTTAGGAGGAAAAAAATCCATATGTTTTCCTGTATTGTAAATTTTAGACTATTTCATATACATTGTATTAAAACTGCCATATCAATTTTAATGTATAGATTTTGCAAATACTATGCTATATGTAATACCTAACTGTATCTGTAGTGTATATGTAATATATTTATGCCCAATAAATGTTTTAATTCTTTCTGACTTAAGTAGGGTTTTTCTGCCATTACTAGGATTGCTGTTGTTGTTGTTGTTACTTTTTGGAAGCTTTGACAACATGCCAAAAGTTGCAAATTCAAATGCCTTTAGAGGTCATGCAGTAGCATAACTATGCCATCCATCCTAAAGGGATAATCACAGTTGTCAGAATTGCTGGCCGCATAATATGTGCCTATATTTCAAAGAAAGCTTATAATCCAGATTTTGATGTAAAATTCCTAGTTTTAAAAAAAACTTGGTCTAAATTATTTTTTAAATTCTGTATTGGACAACTAAATCACAATTGTGTATTACATAGACCCATGGGCTGCTGATGTAAACCTTTTGACAGTGTGTATGTGGATAGTGTGTCCTTTTGCTTAACACTTCACTTATATGATAGGAATTCAGGTGGCCACACCTGCCTCTCTCCACCTAGCACACTGGATGGTTCCTCCTCTGAGCCTCATTCAACAACAACAGCAATAAAGCATAGTGTTCCTACTGTGGACATAGTTTCAGCATTAGGTTACATGGTTCTGCTAAGAATCTCTACTGCCTTCAGTTTTTTGTATATGAAGATGGGTAAATGTATTGTTTAAAACTCGAAGCTCACATATAAAGAATGGCAGTCATTCTTATGGATAAAGATGACAAATTGAGCACATCAAGTTTTGCCAGCCCCTGATACACCATTGAAAAGATAGGAAAGGACTTATTTTTTTAAATCACAACTCTCTTCAAGGTGTATGGTATAAATGGGAGAGAAATCATTAGCACTTGACTTTGGAAAGCTGAACTGTAAATTAGCAAAGGGGAAACTGAGAACCAATTCAGCATACATGCAGAATATACCCAGAAGGATCAAAAATAGAACTGGTTGAAATCTGTTCAGATTACCAGAATTGTTTCCCATGTTTTTTGAAGTGAACAAACTTTACCTCCATCATGTTTGCAGAAGCCTAGACGTTTATCCTCAGGAAAAGATAAAATAGAAGGTCTCTTAGATGCTATCTATAGTTGATGGTCTTGAGCGCACTATCCCCAAAATGGTGACTAATGAATGTAAACATAAACAAGAAAATGTCAGAAGAGTCTCACATAAAGAATCTCATAGAACCAGAAAGAAAAATTTTAAATCTTCGATGAAATAATCCAGTCAGATCATCCTTTGGTAATGCTTCTCAACATTAGCTGCAGATTGGTGTAACCTGTTGAGCTTTAAAAAAAAATTCCTCTACCCAAAGCACACCTATGCCAATTAATTAAATGAATATTTCTGAACTATCAGTGTTTTTTAAAGTTCCCCACATGATTGTACTATGCAGCCAAGACTGAGAACCACTGGTCTAAAGTGAAATAACCAACAGTCCCATGTGGCGCAGTAAGATAAAGCACTGGACCACAAGGTCAGTTTGGACCACAAGATTGGTGGTTCAAACTCACCAGCCATTCCTTGGAAGCCCTGTACAGGGTTGCTGTGAATTGGAACTGACTCAATGGCACCTAACAACAACATGTTAGGATTAATCTGGCATTTGATGAAAGTTGCTTATATTAATGAAAAGATCAAAGCCGACAGCTAGAAAGAATCAGAGAGTGTATGGAAAGGAAGCCTCGGGAAAGACTACCAATATTAGAGAAAAGAAAAGCTCTCTTATAGAATAAGAATAGAAAGCTATTGAAAAGGAGCTATTGAAGGAAAGGAAATGTTCTTGGAAATTGATGTTTAGTAGAATTTGAAGCTAAAATTGAGCAAGTAACCCAGATAATAGGAAACAAAAGATGAAAAGCAGTCTGAGATATCCAACACCCAAATAATGAGAACTCCAGAACAAAAGAGAAAGTGGAGAGGAGGCCATCACTCATGGATTCCCAAAATGAAAGCATGTAAGAGTTCTCAACACAGTAGATTAAAATAGGATCTGTCTACCAAGGTATGTCATCTTGAATTTCAAAACAGTAGATCCAAGATAAGCTTCCAAGAAAGATTTTTTTTTTTTTGGTAAAAATCATACAGATTAGGAATCAGAGAGCTCCTCATACTTCTCAACAACAGTATTGAAAGCTAGAAGTCAGTAATGCAATTGCTTCAAGAGTTTGAAAGAAAAAAGATGTTCCTCCTGCCATACTCAATAAAGTGTAAAGGTATCATGACATTTTCAGAAAATGTAAGATCTCAAAAATTCGCATCCAAGGCATGTTTTCTTAGAAGCTGCTAGGATATACTCTCCCTATATAAGTAATTACTGGTGTGGCGCTGTAGGATCAGCACTGGACTATGAACCACAAGGTCAGCAGTTCAAACCCTCCAGCTGCTCTTCAGAAAACCCTATACAGGGTCGCTATGAGTTGGAATGAACTCGATGGCACTTAACAATAGCAATAAGTAAAATAACCCAAGAATGAGGCAGCCATAGGCTTCTGCCTTCAGTATTTTCATGTAGGTCTGAAATTGGCTGTCTAAGGTGACACAAAATTGTGTGTTCAGCTGGTAACCAAAAGGTTAGTGGTTCAAACCCACCCAGTGACACAGCAGAAGAAACAAGCCTGGGAACCTGCTTCCATAAAGGTTCAGCCAGAAACCCCTATGGAATAGTCTACGCTGTAATATATGGAGTCTCCCACAGCAAAAATTGACAGAAGTTGGCTCTCTGTCTCTGTGACCCCAAAATATGCAACTTTCACTTTCTTAGCCTTTCCACACTTCCACCTAGCCTGTGCACAAAAATATATACACACGCAGACTGAAAAGTGATCAAAGCTTCTCAGCATATCGTTCCTTGTGGTAATTAAGCCTAACAAATCTGTGTGTAGGTGTCGTGATGCCAGACTGTAAAATATATGAATAAACCCACCTCCCTTCCTAGACCGCAAGTGCCTCCAAAGTCAGGAGATGGGAGGGAATGTTTGCATGGGCAATGAATCTAGTTCAGCTCTGAAGCATATAGCATGGTGTACCTAGCACAATATAGAAGCTAAATAAAATCTTAATTAAGCTCACTTGACTAATTTTGTAGGAAAAAGTTCACATAGCAATGGTATGAAGCAATGGTATGGTCCTTAACACTCTTGTCTCCAAAAGTCTTTTGCCACTTGATTTTTGTTTATAATCAAAGTAGTTGTCAACATTTAAGCAGGGGGAGATGTCACACAAAATGCTGAAACTCTAAATTCTATTCAAATTTGGAAGACCTGTTGAACTCTGGGTCTTGTTCTGGAATGGTGGTTACTAACAGAGATGAATAGCAGCTGCCCTTGTAGGTTGGCCGTATTTCTCATCGAATCCTTGCCATGGATATTAGTGCCCTTGTCTCCAAATAGAAGAGCATTGCCATGTACCCATGTGTCCATCAGAAGCGGGCAAGCAGGACAGTACTTTCAGAATGGTAGTGTGAGGACATCTGTAAATCTTTATAAAAGCAACAATAACACTGGTAAAAAATTGTCAGAATCAACTCTGAATTTGGAAATCACCAAAGGCTTGCAACACATTGAACCTCGGTAAAAACAGTATGCTTTGTGGCATGTAACTTTTTGCTTCCATCTTCCCTTTCTCCTGCTCCTCAGTAGCCTTGTAAGCCAGCAACTCTGCAGCTACCAGAGGTTTTTGTTGTAGTTAAGTGCTGTCTAGTCAGTACCAACTCATAGTGTATAGAGTTTCTGAGGAGCAGCTGGTAGGTTTGAACCACCAACCTTGCAGTGAGGAGTCCAGTTCTTATCCTACACCAAAACTCCAGCAGGGATAGAGGTTTTTACAGCTCCGCAAAAAGTCCTGTGGCCAGAGCATTGCCACTGTCTAATCTGTCTCACGGCTTTCTTGAAAAGCTTCATTCTCAGGATATCATTATTTAATGTGACACAGACTTGCTCTATGGGGAAAATCTTATACGCAGGGAAAGTCTTATATGCAGGGAATTTGTTTAAAAGAATTGATGGCAATTGTTTAACTTAGCACCTGCCTGAGGCTGCAATACCAGTTGGGACAAATACGATCCTACCCACAAACTTGAATGTAGAGAATGAGATGTCCCTAGGAGGCTTTTAAAAGTTAGTGGTGTACAGGGAGCTTCAAAATGTTTGTGGAAAAATCTTATTTTTTCATTCTGCTTTGTACATGGGTGTTTGAAGCCCCATCATATTCTTGGATATCTAGATGTCAAGGCTGTGTGCATACTCAGAAAATTCTTGAGAAGGTGCCAGTAGCTCACCTCAGATTTACCTTGAGTATGTAATCAGGAACTGAAGGCTGAAACAATGATGAATTGTGTGCCTGTTGAAGGTATATTCCAGTGTATCCCAACATAGACACCAGTCCCTCAGCAATGAGTATAAAACTTACTGGTTCAAAGTATTAAAGGAAGTATCTAATTGTTGTTAGCTGTCACTAAGTTGGCACCTACTCATGGCAACCACATGCACAACAGGATTGAATTTTTATGATTTGCGCTGGCTGATTTTTGTGGAGTAGATCCCCAGGCCTTTCTTTCTAGCTCACCTAGAAACTCTGCTGAAACTTCAGTATCACAGCAAAACAGAAGCCTTCACTGATGGACAAATGGTGACTACATTCGAGGTGCATGGAATTGAGCCTGGGTCTCACACACAAAAGGCAATAATTCTGCCACTGCTCTCCACTGCCTCTTAACCAATTATGAGCTAACCACAGACACTTGAGTGGCTATACACTACAGGGAATGCAGACTTTACCTAATTGATCTGGAAAAGTCAGTAAATAGGCAAAAATTCTAGGGAGAGAGGAGATCTCATTTCCAAAATTACATATATTATCTAAAATGGCTTATTTTCAACAAGATTATGAGACCCAAAAGGCAACAGGAAGGTAGGGCCTATATTTTTCACACAGGAAAACAGTCAATGGAAACTCTTGAGTCTCACATGTTGAACTTACTAGACAAAGACTTTAATCGTTATAAATTTGTTCAAAGAACTAAAAATGTGAAAATGATGTCTCACTAAATACAGAATGCCAGTAAAGAGATCAAAATTA